CCGGCGGGGCACCTTCTCGAACGGCAGTCGCCGCCTGCCGCCGCCACGCACCGTCCCGGTGAAGAGAGGGACCGCGAGCAAACCCCCAGGGGAGAGGGTCTCGCTCAGGTCTCGCTTGATGGTGCGTGAAGGAGCCCGTTGTTCTTTTACCTCTTCTCAGACCGTGGCAACTTGGGGGGCGAGCCACCGAAAAGAGAAAATCCGGGGAGACAATATCGTGTCTCCTCTCTGGCTGTGCCGTGTGTGTGACGGCCCCTGTGTGACAGCGAGGACCTGTGTGTGTGTGTGCGGTGTGTGGAGCGCCGAGCGCGCGGGCCAACATATCAGGCCATCGCTCGGCTTATCTACGCTCCTTACACGCAACACGGGCGCACGGCCACGGCGCTAGTGCCCACGCCCCAAGGCCCGGGGCCCCCGGGGGGCGCGGGCGGCGGGGGGCGGCGGGGGGCGGGGCGGGGGGAACGGGGCGGCGCCTACGGGGTGTGGACCCTGAGTTGACCAGGGGTTGTGCGCTGGGCCCTCCTGCTCGGCTTTAGCCAGTAGACAAGTCTTGTCATCAACAGAGTAGATGGATCTGACCTCGGGGCCGATGTGACCAAGCGCTGGTAGCGTGGTTTGACCTCACACCCATGGTCTCACAGTGTGCCGGCAGTCGCCGAGCAGTGTCGCTCACACAAGCCGCAGCACAAGTGACTGAGGGCCAGTGAGGGCGAGCCCATCGCTGTCACAGCTGTGGCAGCCGCACAGCAGGCTGTGTCAACTGTGCAGAGTGTGTGAGCAGCCGAGGAGCTGCTCTCCAGGCTTCTGTCGCAAAGAGCTGCATGCCACCGAAGGCGCTGTCGAGGTTCGCCGAGCGCGGCGAAATCCGGGGACACCGTCACCGACGAGCGCGTTGGAGTACTCACTCCGGACAAAGACAGTGGCACGCGCCGCTTGTCTTCGCGGCGAGGCGCGGGATCGTCTGTGGCGAAGTGGGTCGCGTCCCCGGATTTCCGTCAACCCAGCATCCACACCCTTTAGCCTAGCTCCATTTTTCAGTGTACGTACTTTTAGCTTACTGGGAGAATCTCTCTCTCAGTGTACGTCTCTCTCTCTCTTCTCTCTCAGTGTATGTAGCTCTTACGTACATTCCCGGAGGAGGACTGCTGACGGGGTTTGCGATGAGGAGCGATCCGAACGTGGCATTCGGGTGATTAGATCACTACCTTTTTCAGTGTACGTACTTTTAGCTTACTGGGAGAAAAGAGAGAGGGGGTGGTGTTCTCTAGGCTCAGTGTATGTTAGCTCTTACGAACATACCCGTAGGTGAACTGCTGACAGGGTTGCGATGAGGAGCGATCCGAACGTGGTATTCGGGTGATTAGATCACTACCGCCGAAGCGCTTTTTTGCATTTAATTTATGCTGGTGGGCGCCGGGGGCGCGCGAACTCTCGTACGACGGTTAGTCCCGGTCGCCGGTGGGGGTGAGGGTCAAATATCGTTTTCATATCGTTCAAAACGATGTGAAAAAAATTCGTGTGTGTTGTCTGTTCGTGTTGTGGGGCACGAGGGGACAGGCCAACAGCCAGTGGGACGAACGAGGGCCGCGACGGCGGCCCAAGCGGGAGGGAGCGGAGACAGTCGGCAGCGAGCGAAGTGGGTGAGACTGATGATGCTCCTTCGACTTAAGGAGCGGTTCAGCTGCTGGGCGGGCTTCAGGCTGGTGCTCACGCGAAAAGGAATCGACGCGATGTACAAAGCATACAACAAGAGGAGAAAGAAGAGGACGGACATCAGTGATGACGAAACAGAAGCTAGCGCAGACGAGGGCAGGGCAGACCCGGGGACTGGGGAGCCGGAGCAGACGGCATCGGCCGCCGAGGGAACGTTGGGAAGAGGCACGAGGAGGGCGGCGACCTCAACCGACTATGGAGGACCCGTCACCAGACGACGCAGGGCGGACGACGGGGAGGCGGAGCAGACGCGCAGGGCGAGACGAGGGAGGGAGCAGGATGTTGCGGAGATCAGCAGGAGGATGTACGACGAGATTAGGAGCAGCAGGGACCCGAGGGACCATGTGGAAGACGGCTAGTGCTAGTCCCCCATCGGGAGGACGACCCCGGCTAGTCGCCGACCACACCCACAAAGAACCCTGCACAAAGACCGCAGGGCGGGGACCTGTTCCTTTTTACCCATCTCCTAGTAGAGAGGTGTCCGTTTTATTTATTTATTTAGGTAGGTCGGTAGGTAGGGGTGGGGGCAGGGCCCGGCCAGGTTTTGCAGGATTTCATCTCGTGGTGTCCGGCCACGCAAGAAAACACCCTGGCGGGCTAGTGAAATTGGCAAATGCTTACTTCCGCTGACACTCCGCACGCACTGCGCAACAAGGCAAAAACGGCGACGCGCCGTACGCCTCAAAGGGCGCGGTCGACAATCTCGGGTGATCTCGGGCTCCTTGCCTCGCGCGCCTCTTTTGCGGCTTCATCCCTAGCCGCCTTGGGCCTTGCACACTCGGGTTTGACGCATGGGGTCACTCCCGCGAAACTCGTGAACTAGCTGGGGCAGTCGGAGAAAAAAGGGTAAAGGATGCCCGAAATCACCCGTTTTTGCCCAATTTTCGGTCGTCCGTCAAAATATCTGAAGATCCTACTATAGGATTCTCCCCAAACCTTGCTCAGCTGATCCAGCATGGGTCGTAGGCCAGGCCTGGGCAAAGAAACCAGTACCTCATCAGGCTTCCCTGAGCGTCACAGCTCGGTGATCGCGCCGGCCGGACACCACTGTAACGTCCGTTCCGGGCATTTGAACGCGACCTTCGGGGGCAAAGACATGGGCTCTATGGCTCAGACTGGACTCCTCTTGGTCCCTTCTGATGCCCTAGGCCACACCTGGGCCTTACTTGGAGCTCTAGGGGGTGGGCAGGGTTTGCTCGCCCCCAACGCGCGGCCTCTAAATTCTTTTTTCGGGACCTTGGTTCGGTCGCCGGAGCCGCCAAGTGCTCAACCAGCTGACAAACCCGGCTGGCACTCGATATGCAGACGGAACAATCCGGCCCGCTTCTCTCGGAGCAGTCT